ACTTAAGAGACATTCAGTCAGTGTGACACGTTTCCTGTCTCATCACAGGGGATAGTCTGTCACGGTCAGTGAGTCAGTTAGTCAATGATTGAGTCATTCAGGTGCAAAGAGGAATAAAAGCTCTGAGCATCAAACAACTAGTTTAGAAATACACCCCAAGCAAATCACTCTGTTAATGCCATGCTTTTATTATACTGGGCCGGCAATTGAAATGGAAATGTTTGCAAATTCAGCAATATGTATGCACACGTCCTTACATGGGGCCGCTCAATAGGTGAAGATCATTTTAATTCAATGGGTGGCCGAATGCTTCCAATCATAGAAATGTGGCATACACGTGAACAAAACAAGTGATCTGTATGGTCTCCTGCTATTTGATCAGTTTCAGTATAATTCGTAATATGGTTGTACAAACACGTACAGCACATAATCCTGCTGGTTGTTTTTGGAAGACGTATCCAGGAAGTAAAAATATATGTTATGAAACCATAAACAGTGACGTTCTGTTCACACAAGCATTAACTCAGTCTTTCTTTTTATTTTGAATTTTTTTTTTTAATTCTCCTAACTTTGACTTTTCAGTGAACCCAGAAGGGAAGCTTAGTTTATCAAGGTTTGGTTAATCAGATTATAAACATAATGGTTCATTTTTTATGAATTATGATTCAAATCAATCGGTTAATTAACTAAAATCGCCCGTCATTATTTTGATACACGATTATATAAGTATCATAAGGTCACACTGATTGTATGTAAACCTTTAGATCAGGGGTGATGACCATACCAAGTTTCAAGTTCATGCGTTGTTCCGTTTGAATAGAAAACCTGCGGAGAATTGTCGTTCAGAAAAAAAAACCAAGGGATGATGCTTATCAGCTCCATCATCCAACAAAATCAAGTCTTCTAAATATTACTATCGTATGTAGACAGGTTTGACTTTTGCATTGGCAAGACTAAAGAGAGAAAAGCAAACCACACTCTTATTACTGCCACAATCATATCACTCCCACGGCAACGTTCATATGGGGAAAAAAAAGAAACATAACCAAAAAAAGAAAAGAAACATAGTCAGGTTGACGTAGCGGTACTTTCCTCGCCTTCCACCGCTGTGACCCGGGTTCGAATCCCGCCTGGGTCAATATGTGGATTGGGTTTTCAGTCCCTACCTGATTCCGTGGGTTTTCCTCAGAATACTCTTCTGGGCTTGTCCTCCCACCTCTAAAACTGTAATTTCTTCACATTGTCTTCTCTTTACTAGGACCCAAGGGAGATCAGTGGATTCCACTGAATGGGCTGACCAGTTAAAATAAGAAATAAATAAATAAATAAATAAATAAATAAACATAACACAATCATTGCGGTCGCCCGCCTGTCTGTCACTCAAGGATTGGAAATATCGTTTTGGAAACAAAACACGGCGGCTAAAGTGCCTCATCCCTCTTCAATAAGAAAACGCATGATGCCAGACACGAGGTCGATGGTCAGATTGGTACATAGAGACTATTTTTTTTTCTCGCGAAATGTTGTCAACATAATTACAGACGCGAACCGAGCCCAAAGTCTGGCGCTGATTGGCATCTGCTGAACAGCATCGTTACCGAGAAATTGCACAGGGCATAATGACATTTTACACTTCTGTGCCATTAAAAGAACGACATCACTTAAAGGGAATATACAACATTTGCTTTTAACTGTAAATTTCAAAAATGGATGGATTTGGGGGTAAGCATTTTATGGCAAATATTGTTACACTGACTTGTTTGAGGTTTTGTGTTCGTAGATGCTGGGAAAAAAACAAGTAAAACAATCATGTTCCTGTAGTCTTGTTCCTGACCCCACTTACGATGAAACGGACGTCAGGGAATTGTAAGTTCAGAGAACCAGTCTAGCTGGCTCGCACCCGTTCATAGGTGTGTCGATTGCAAATAAAATGCAGACTAACTAAATAATTAAATTGGGGGGGGGGGCAGTATTTGAAGAAATAAACCCAGTTTTTTTTTCCAATGCTGGTTGCTGGTGGCAGACCAGCGTTGGAAATAATACTAACATACCACTTTTCTTGAAAATAACAGCAGACTGTAGGTGCCATGATTTTACAGGATGCTTTAGACTGTCATTCACTTACAGTCCAGTAAGGTATTTAGTAATTTGGTAGTTCTGTTTTTGGATGTTTGCAAATGTTGTATATTCCCTTTAATTAGCTAAAAGAAATTAGGTATAGCGGCCCCATTGACGACCTCAGATATAGCAGTTTAATCATGTGACCGAAAATGTCAGCATATAGGCAAATACGGAAGGTGACAAAGTTCCTAGGAAACTCCAAAAAAATCGAATTCCAAGGATTACAGTCAGTGCGACAGTTCGGATTCATTGACAGTTCCGGATCACTTGATTAAAATAATAAGAATGAATTCAAGTGTAACCAATTTGAAGTTTTCTATTATTTTTTCACCAATTTCAAGTCTATTACAATAATTGGAAAAGAAATGTTGGAAATCGTTTATAAACATTTCCCACAACGCAGTTCGGCGAAATGCGCGGTTGTTTTGTAACTGGTTTGTGAAGCGAAGCGCGTTAAGGCAAACTTCTGGTTCCCTCCGGTATGTAGTCCACTTTTAATATTTTGGCATTGCAATTGACTGAATTGCCGTATTCGCCGAAAGATTTTTATCCACGCAAAAAAATTAGACAGTTGCGGATCACCCATGCAATCTAATTATAGTATGCAGTCTACAGGCAGGTGCGATACACACGACTCGCTGAGCGCGCCGTAAAGTTGTGATTGTGCATGTACATGATGTGCATTGAGCTATAAACAGTGACCTCACCCATAGAGCAAGGTTAAGTTACATCTATCGACAAATCTGTCCTTGATCTCTGTTCAAGCTAAGGATCACTGTAGCGGATTGCGTAGTTAATAAGCCATTTGCGAGTTACATTTGAATAAAATCTGGAACGCTGACTTAATCCAATGCTTTGCACGTTTTAACTTTGCATTCTCCCGACCAAAGAGACTGTTACTATATCAAGTGATTCGGGGCAAGCCTTATGCTAGCAACCGCCAGCTCCGGTATGGTCTGGTGTCTTTGTGCCATCCTCACCCATTGTGAACAATGTATTGGTGCTGAACGTCTCTTACGTAACTATGCAAGAGCTTGCCCCGAATCATGTGATAATCAACAGTGTCTTTGGTCTGGAGAATTCAAAGTTCAAATGTGCCAAGCATTCTGAGCAAGTCAGTGTAACAGATGTTTTTCAAATGTAAATCCCTAAGGGTATAGGTTACTCGCATATGGCTTATTAGGCCTCTCATTCTCTTCTGTAATTTCTATTCTGCAACCACAGGCACTCTTTAAATTAAGATCAGATTAGTTCTGACCAAGATTGACCAATTTGATGGGTCATATAAGCCCTAGGCTTTAACTCGACCCTCAATTACAAGCAAGATTACAAGCAAGGTAATTTGTTTTGTTCTTGGGCATGCACTTTTGGCGAAACTTTCTAAAACAGACATTTTTTTAAACCAGACTACAGCGGCCTAATAATAACAATAGTGCTTGCTTGTATCGTCCCGATAACTTTTTTCTTGGTTTTTCGTTTTAATAATAATAATAATGAACACTTTTTTGTCAAAAACTGTGTTTTCAAGGTCCGCCCATGGGGATATGACTGCTTCACCAACCCATCTCCAGGTTGATCGGGAGTACACTAACTCACATGATGGAGAAGCTTGTTTAGTTGGATTGAGTGCCTTTCCCATAGCCTACATCAACGCCGCATGATAACTGACGAAAAGTGGGTCAACTTACAGCTGTACGGTATTGCTGGTTTACCCGCATGACATTTTCCTCGTAGACTAGCAGGCTCCTTCACAGGCATTTTTAGAGAAAAGTGGACAAATAACAGCCATTCCCACTAGAAATGCTGCCCTAAGCTTCAGCAAGCCAGGTCAACAACAGAAAGGTGGGGGCGTTGTCATACAGATGATGCCAAAACAGCTAAAAAGAATATTCAATCTGCATCGCTACACATGCCAGAAAGCAGATGTTACGCATAATAACTGTGACACTTATATATATTTATATATGGAAAATAGACAATAGGCAAGTGCCTACACAACAAAACAGATGTTACACTTGTGTAAACATCTAAAACGTATAACTGTAGCACTGATAGTAATATGGAAATTAGACAATAGACAAGCACCTACACAACACTGCCAATTTGGAGCAGTGAAAGGCGCTAACAAAGAAATTAGTCGATGTACGGCAGAAGAAAAGTCAATCTTATTTTTGTTGACAGCAACGAGAAAACTGCTTCACACACACGTGCAAAATTAACTATTAGGTCGTTGTTATTTATTCAAATCAAGTTTAATGCTTTCATTTACATCCATTTTGATCAACTTACGAACTTTGTTGAGCATAACCAGCATGTTGCTGTCACGCTGTGGTATTTCATTTGTGTCTACGTGAAACACCCTAACCAAAATAGGAAAGAGCGTAATCTGCAACTGTCGAAAATGATCCGCGACTGTTGGGGCAGATAGCGGAAATATTTGGGGGAATTGTGCCTCTGATGATACAAGCATGGCATTTGGTGCATTTTTAGAGTATGTCTAAAGCATGATATTTGGTAACAGGGCCATCGCAGATTTGTCCTTTGAAAAATAATAACAAGCAATTTTCAAAATTTTCAAAACGGCAGCCATAGCTTGTTATTCTACCCTATAGATTTTAACAAAAGCGATGGCCCTATGGGCAAATATCTTTCTCATAACATTCTCTGCCAAATGTGTGCCAAATGCCATGCTTGTGTCATTAAAGACACAATCCCATCATTATCTGCCGTAATATGTCGGGCTCAGTCTTGAACGAACAGCAGGGATTTATTTCCCTAGAAATTGAGTCTGTGTGATAATATTTGGTTATAAGATGAAGAGGACGAATTTTACGACGAAATCGTGTAACTCGGACACGGACACTCAGAGCATGGTCGGGTGCATGGCGGTCTGTATAAAAAGTGATCCGGAACTGTCGCACTGACTGTATTGAAGTCTGTGCCGAACGCGCGTGTCTTGCGCATGGCCATGAGCCGTGATAGGCGAGCAAACTGAAGCCTTACATTAGTAATGAGGGAATCTACAGTGCGGCCGCTGATTCCGATGTAGATCTATAAATGGAAATCGTCAAGTCAGATTCAGCACTTGTTTTCTCTCTCGGTGACTGAATCAGTTGTCTCCACCGCTTTGACGCGAGCAGATCGCTCTCCACAGAAATTACGGTTTGTGAGAGTGCAGCGTTTAATCATGAACGCTACCTTGGACGGCCCTACTGGATCAACACCAGCTTCGCCTGAGGGGTTCTACGGCCGTATCCCCGGGGCAGTCTACGATGTCACCGCAGTCTACTTGGGTCTCCTCACCTTCTTCGGTATCTTCAATAATGGACTGGTGCTGGTGTTGTACGCTAGGTACAAGACGCTACAAAATCCGGTCAACCTGTTCCTAATCAATATCTGCTTGGGTGACCTGAGTGTGTCTCTTTTCGGAAGTCCGTTCACCTTCGCCGCTAATGTCGCCCGCAGGTGGTTATTTGGTGCCGGCGGCTGTACCTGGTACGCTTTCATCGTCACGGTGTGTGGTGAGTTTCGTAGTGTGAATTGCAACTTGTGTTACACGAACAAATCCGCAAGTCGCTTTTAGAGGATAGACGATCTGTTTAAAAGTAAAATTTAAAAAAAAACCAAGGGAAATCAATACAATATGCGGATGTATAAGAGGGTATTCATTGTAATTTCAATTAATTAAGATTTATTCATGTCTAAAATATAGCAATACAAAATCACTGCCCTCTAACGTAGAAGCACACATTTGTCTTTGAATCGCAGATCTAGCGAAATTGTATAGTTTACAAAACACTCTTGGCGCCGTCTGTGTTCCGTGAGGCGGTTGCTCACCCCAGTGAGACATGGGAAACCAAACAATTTTTTGAGGGGTTCCTTTGTTTCTAGGTTTCATTTTTTTCCCCTTTTAGCCTCTGGTAAGAAGTTCTAGTCTTGTTGTGGCAACTCCTAGTATTAATACTTTTAACAAGTTCATTGAGTATACGATAGAGGGGCCAAGTTGGGCCTTTCGCCACTTTTTGCCCCGGTTCGAACCCCACCTTGCGCACCATTAACATGTTCCAAACTACTTATAACCGAGAAATTAAAATGCCACTATAAAGTTAAGACGAAACACGTTACAGGCTTTGGCCCACGGCCCAATACGGGACAGCGAAGCCATACATTTTCTTCATAGAGCATACAGTCGTTCAGATTTATCATGCCATTTCTACTTGCCACGTAATGTGATATCTCTCATAATTCCTTAAGGAGCTAGAATTGCGCGACGTGTTTGGTAAGCTTTTGGGGGGTCATTTTTGTCAAAAAAACATTGAAGATTAGGCCAAAAAAATAATATTCGGTCTCTGGTCAGACCAAAGTTCCGGAATTGACGCGGCCACGCGGCTTTTTTTTTTTTTTTTTTTTTGCTTTTTTTTTTTTTCTTCAAGCTTGGATTGTACAGACAAGGTGGGGTACTAATTTGCTTTTTTGGTGTCCTCGTGTACATTGGTGTCCTCCATAATTTGCCTTGGTGCTTTCGATCATTTGCCTTGGTGCAATTTCCCGTTCCTTGGTGCTCTTTGGTAAAAAAAAATTGAGCAGGTGCGGAAATAGAGGGCGCTGTTGGAGCTACCGCGGAACATTTTGGAAAAAAAAAAGATCGACGCGCATGATTAAAATCGACGCGCGCGCTGACCAGAGTCCGACTTATTTTTTTTTTTTTTGATCTTATCTCTGTAGCTACGATCGCCTTTTCGGAGGAGTTGAAACTAATCGTTTCTGTTTAAATTGACTCAAGTCAATTAAGCAAATAAAATAATTCAAAGCGTGGTGTACGCATTGGACTATGAGGATCATTAATAATTGTAATCAACATTAACAAGAGTGTCTCTAATCAAATGGACTAGAAAGATAGTACTAGAATCAGTCTACGTAATTTGACGATCAACTATTAACGAATGTAAATTTTTGTCTCGTAATTTTTAAAAGACGACCTTTTATGATCGCCAACGGTGCGCCTGGAGGCAACGGTACCTGACTGTCTTCCCGCCGCATGCATCAACAAAACAATGCTTCATTATTTTGATTGTATTGAGACCTTATATTGAATCTGAAACTTCGAAGAATAATTGAATATAAATTATTCTTTGGGTGGAATTTTGATCATTTCAGTTTTCCGATCGGCCGATTGATTTTCTGACATGTTGTAACTGCAACAGCGCATGGACGACGGATCATATTTCAGTGTTATTGCCCAACTGAACATATATGGCCAGTATTAAATGACCCGCAGGCTGCGCTACTCATTATTTTGGATAGCGACAATGGTTTCTTGTAAGGTGACGGCTACTCGCACCGTAGAGCTTTTTGCTCGTATGCCTGCAACAGCCAACGGCAAATACTACAAATGGTACAACTGTCAGCAGATATCACTAAAGGAAAAGCCAACGGCGGATGGGTAATGGGAAACCTCGCAAATCCCTACGGCCGCTGCCACAACTTGTATATCTTTCGGCTATATATAATTGCTCTGCTCTACTCTACGAAATGCCAATGTGTACGTTTTATTGAAAAGGAAAAGGCGTTATTTTTATTTTTCGCCTGTTGACGTTTTCAGCACTTTAAAACTTGTGTTTGCTTTGCGTTTGCTTTTGGTTTGTCGTGTCGCAAATAATTCGAAATCTGTTAAGTAAAATTTAATATTCCATAATTAAATGTGGCAGGATTTGTTGTTTGATGTTTCATTCAAATGGTTTCTTGAGGGGGGGAGGGGGCTAGAAAATAGCAGTTTAAAAGCAAAAATCTGTTTTGGCGGGATGCAGCTCGAAAATATAACGGGGAGAGCGACTTTAAATCATTGGTAACATGAACAGTAGCCGTGAACGCGACGATCGGACAGTGCGTCTACAGCGCAGTATGTTAATATCCCTTTAAGACCAAAGTACCTGTGAGCGTCTACAATGTGATCACACTGCGGTTTGTAGACCTTGCCTTCTTGAGTATCATCAACAACGTGCTATAGTTCTGGTACATGTATAAGCTATAATTATACAAGACGCTAGGAATTAATCAACCTGCTTCTGATTACCATCTGTGCAGACGTTTAGAGCGAGGCCGTTTTTGGTTTCTTTTCTTACCTTTGCAGCTAATATTGAAAGGGCGTTGAATTGTTGGTGTCACTAGCCGGCTACATGGTACCGGTGAAGCGTGAATATCCGAATCCATGAAATGTGGACTCGTTAGTAGTAAGGCGCATGCCGTAAGTACGATGATATGCTATATTTAGGATCATTATGGGGGAGTGACCTGTCACGTGCGAGGGATTAACCAATAATAGGGGAAAATGGTCCGATTTTCATAGGAGTCGGATTTTCATGTGACACCGGTATGCGCTCGTTCTTACAACTTGCATGGAGTTGAACAAATATCTGGACAGGGTTTTGCTGTGTTGTAATATCAGTAAGCAGCGCGCTGAGGCACGTATTCTGTAATCTCCCTTATTCTTTAAGGAAATTGCATTGATTTTTTTTTTCAAAAGGGAAAATCTGTGTCAAAGTATGCATGGGCAACAAAAACGGTTGTAGAAACAGCACTAAGAAGGAACGATGTATTTCTTAACAGGGGACATGTGTATTCAGGGTACGCAATCTGTTACAGAGGATTAAAAGAACGTGGAATATATTTCTAGTGACGCTGAGCAAGTCGTAATTCAGATACAAGAAGGGTCACGTGTATTAAAAAAAGAAAACCAGTCCCCCCCCCCCCGACTGAAAAGAGAGAAAATGTGTCCTTTATGAATAAAGGTAAGGATTTACGGTAGCACATACGACATATCTCTTTATGATCTGTGAGGTTATGAAAAGAACCGGGGGAACTCAACGCTTCGGACAGTTTAGGCCCAAAAAAAAATATTCGGTCTCTGGTCAGACCAAAGTTCCGGAATTGACGCGGCCACGCGGCTTTTTTTTTTTTTCTTCAAGCTTGGATTGTACAGACAAGGTGGGGTACTATTTTGCTTTTTTGGTGTCCTCATGTACATTGGTGTCCTCCATAATTTGCCATGGTGCTTTCGATCATTTGCCTTGATGCAATTTCCCATTCCTTGGTGCTCTTTGGTAAAAAAAAATTGAGCAGGTGCGGAAATAGAGGGCGCTGTTGGAGCTACCGCGGAACATTTTGGAGAAAAAAAAAGATCGACGCGCATGATTAAAATCGACGCGCGCGCTGACCAGAGACCGACTTATTATTTATTTTGGCCTTACTCTGCCCGTCGTCAGGTGACTAACGACGGGCAGAGCATGCTGTCCGAAACGTTGGGTTTCCCTCGGTTCTTTCCAGAACCTCACAAACTCACAAAAGAGATTTGCTACAAGGTGCTACCGTAATTCTTGATTTTATTGCTATATCTCCACCATGCAAACCTTCAAATCTTGCGAATAAAGACTACTTCCCAGGACAATAAATACCAAAGTATCGGTTCTTTTTCGGATTCCCTTTTGACATTTCTTACAATAGGCGGAGTAACACCTGTCATGATTACAATAAGCGATCGCGCGCACTTATTTTTACTTCTCTCGAAAACGAAGTTTGATAGAAGGGAAAAAGCTGTCATACAATAATAACGCCATTTCTCAGGCACTTCAGATCAGCGAACTGATTGTCACTTTACGATGTGCTGTACGCAGATTGCAAGGACGAATTGGCATTAACCAGTCTAATTTCATGGACACTTAATGATGGCGAGTAACGACCGCTATGGAATGATGACGTTCGTCGCAGGCGCGGTTCTAGAACCAATTTTTGGGGGGGCTAGCACAGTGGATCCAGAATTTTTTCAGGGAGCATGCTGAAATGTTGACCGGTTATTTTTTCCAGACACTTAGGCCTCCGAAAATGGGGGGGGGGGGGGGGGGGGGGCTCATGCCATATTTTCAATGGGGAGCGCCAATAAAATCCTAAAATCATTCACACTATATTAACTAATGCACCCTTGTCACGGCTATTTCTTCTTTAGGGGGAGACCGTTCGCATGTACATCACAATCCTTCTTTTTGCAAATGCATTTTTTTTTTTTTACGGAATTTATTTTGGGGGGGCTAGACAAAATTTTTGGGGGGGGGGCTTCAGCCCCCCCCCCCCCTAGCCCCCCCGTAGAACCGCGCCTGGTCAGAACTTCGTCGTAATTATTGATCCCTAATAAGCAATGAGAGATAGCAATTGGAGGATACCCCATATATATATATATATATATATATATTATTTCAAGGGGGACACAATATCTGCTTCCGCAGCATCTTGCTCTGTGTTGCCTATACTGTCTCCATGGGGTAGAAGTTAGCTATTATAAGTTTATAGCGGAAAATCACGGGGTAAGATGTGTCTTGGTATTTTGACTAGATGGAGGAATCATCATAAAAACAATGGGAATTGAAGTTTCTTATTAGAACAAGTGTATAACAGCGGATCATACGAGAAATCCTTCACTTTAATACGATGCTCGGTCGCTGTTCCCATCGTAATTTTCTCAGCGAATCAAAGAAGACTGCTGGTATTCCTTCACGCTTGCATCCATTACCAGAATACTATTATCTCCAATGCCATCGTCAATATTCCTGCCCATCTCTACAGATCGTTCAAGATTGAATTGAAGCCTTCAAAAATGATTTCCTACGCAGTGAGACCGGCATCTGCATCAGCTTGCAATAAACTTCGATGATTGCTGGATAACGGAATAAGCGTGGGGAACATAATGATGATCCTAACGAAAACCACGGACAGTCTAAATTCATCCCCTAATTGGCTATACCAGATAAGAGATGAAATCTCCGGACGCTGGAAATAGAAGCACCTGTCCAATTTTATAAATTGCCTTATTGGATGTCTAGAAAAACAGGCTGTTTTGGCATATGAAGATGAGATGAGGGTGCCCGTTGGAATATAAATGGGCAGTTCGTCACAGCCTACTCTGGCAGACTGTAGAAAACATGAATGACGTGCCCTGGAACCTCGTGAGTGAGAAATCTCAAACAAAATATAAGTGAATCTTATATAGCTTGTCGTTACAAAGGATGATATAAATACTAATTGATATGATCGAGTTACAGTTAGCATTACAAGTTATTGAAGTATGAATCATCGCTATAAACATGGCTGTTGTAAGCCTTTTGTCTAACCACCGCAGAAAATAGCTCAGGGAGTAAACGGATATTACTTTTATACATAATTATGGAGCAGTTAGAGAAACCTTGCATATGCAAGCAAACAAGAGGAGAGGGGTGTGTCTATGCCATTTTTATTCTCCCTGGGAATAATCTAATGCTGTATCCATCATCACCAAAAGTTTAAATAAGATTATTAAAAAGGCTCGGATACAATGGTGTTACCGCGGTCAATGATCATTAAAGGCCTATATTTCTGCAGGCGTTATTTTTTAGGGAATTCATTTTAGAAAATTTGAAAAAAACAAAATATGTTCCATGAATTTGTCAATGCTAGTAATGTGTGAGGTCTCGATAAGACAAGACAAAAGAATTGTATGCATAATGCACAAAACAATAGACTCATTTGCATATCAATGAAACCAATTACCATATCAATGGATTGTGTTAGCATAATAAATGAGCGCATTGACGTATGGAAGTTTTATCGGACAAAGGAAGGGTCTGGAAATTTTATTGGACAAAGGGAGGACCCACCCCCTAGATTGAATATCGGACAGAGGAAGACTTGAACTGGAATATCGGACAGATGAAGACTTGAGCTGGAATATCGGACAGATGAAGACTTGAGTTGGAATATCGGACAGATGAAGACTTGAGCTGGAATATCGGACTGAGGAAGAATTGAGCTGGAATATCGGACTGAGGAAGAATTGAGCTGGAATATCGGACAAAAGGGAGACGCTGGATGGAATATATGGTACAAAGACAGATGTCAAACGTTTGAAAATGACTAAGAATATCATTTGTATTCATTCAAGCAGTGTGCTAACAGTGAATGAAAAAATAAAAATGGAGGCCACACCAACAGAGCGCCAATTAAATCAACTCGCTGGAAATCGCGTGAAAAAATGTTTTTACTCTAGGGATAATGGAGTAGTAGCGCAGTGACGGCAGTATAGGTAGTGCCTGCTCCTTTTTGTACACGTTTTACGGGGAAATGTAGGGGGGGGGGGCGGTTTGAGGAGCAATGAGGATCCATTGTAAAGGGTATTCAATAGAAAAGAGGATTAGCGGATGCAATGTGTAGTGATTATATATGAATTTGTCATTTTGGATGAATGGCATAGGTTGGACGGCAATCGGAACAATAGGCTCATTATACTTATATACAGGTTCCAACTACATGTGCATTAACAAAGCTTTCCACGAAAAACCTTGTCCACAGTGACCATGTAAAAAGCAAACCGGGTACCGTTAATGTCATCCTAAGCCCATCATGAATTATAGTATAATTGAAACGTATTGTATACAGGCCTGAAATACACTGGCATCTTTTAATGGCTTGCCTAATTAATGTTGCTTTGCTAAGTATAATGAGCCTATTGTTCCGATCGCCGTCCGACCTATGCCATTAATCCAAAATGACAAACAAATTCATTATATAATCCCTACACAATGCATCCGCTAATTCTCTTTTCTATTGAATACCCTTTACAATGGATCCTCATTGCTCCTCCAACCGCCCCCGCCCCCACATTTCCCCGTAAAACGTGTACAAAAAGGAGCAGGCACTACCTATACTGCCCCAACTGCACTACTACTCCATTTTCCCCGGAGTAAAAACATTTTTTTCACGCGATTTCCAGCGAGTTGACTTAATTGGCGCTCTGTTGGTGTGACCATTTTTATTTTTTCATTCACTGTTAGCACACTGCTTGAATGAATACAAATGATACTTCATTTTCAAACGTTTGACATCTGTCTTTGTACCATATATTCCATCCAGCGTCTCCCTTTTGTCCGATATTCCAACACAAGTCTTCATCTGTCCGATATTCCAACTCAAGTCGTCATCTGTCCGATATTCCAGTTCAAGTCTTCCTCTGTCCGATATTCCAGTTCAAGTCTTCCTCTGTCTGATATTTCAGTTCAAGTCTTCCTCTGTCCGATATTCCATTTCAAGTCTTCCTCTGTCCGATATTCAATCTAGGGGGTGGGTCCTCCCTTTGTCCAATAAAATTTCCAGACCCTTCCTTTGTCCGATAAAACTTCCATACGCCAGTGCGCTCTTTTATTATGCTAACATAATCCATTGATATGGTAATAAGTTTCATTGATATGCAAACGAGTCTATTGTTTTGTGCATTATGCATAAAATTCTTTTGTCTTGTCTTATCGAGACCCTACTAAATAATTTCAGTTTTGAATGGAAGTCGGCCATACCGGTATATGAAAGAAAGCTTTGAACTATTTGCCCTAGTTAGGGTACACATTTTTGTTCATGTAATAATGCAGTTCACATGACCTGATGTATTGTTTTTGTTTGTAAAGTTGAAACTGTGTATAGTTTCTCAACCGCGTTTTTTGAGAACCTTGGTTTTTCGTTGTTTTCGTTTACTGTTTAGCATTTGGGGGAAATCACAAGCCTTTTTCAGGTGCGCTCGATTTCCACGATCTGTCTATAGAAATACAAATAATATTTTCTATCAAACAATTCCATTAAAGTCAACCCCTGTTTTCTTTTCAAAGTTTAAAAAGTTCAACCAACATCGTTCCCAGGGTCTACTTCGACCTCGTTGTCAATAGGAGATAGCGGCTCGCAGAAGCGTACTGCTAAACGCCTTGGGGACGAGTTTAAAGTTCCACCAATCCCGCTGTTCGAAGCCATTTGAACGTTACTATTGTTCGGGCGCATTTCATAATGAACTCTTAACCAGAATGGCTCCGTGTTATAACATTTTCCTGTCTCTGTCCCTTTAGGAACCGAGCAGATTGTGTCATTGGCCGCCGTGTCAGTCCACCGATGCTGCCTGGTTGTGCGTCCCTTCACTGCCCAAAAGATGACCACGCGCCTGGCCTTGCTATTCATTGCCCTGACGTGGGCCTACTCCTTGATTGTATCACTGCCTCCAGCTATAGGCTGGAATTCATACGTCTTGGAGGGAACCGGAACAGGTTGGTAAACAGTGTATTTATGCCCTTAATCATTTATTCTTGGTCGAATCCAGGGGCGTATCGATGGGGGCGGGGTCGATCGACACCCCCCCCCCCACCACCACCACCACATCCCGAAAAGCCAAATGGCAATTAAAGCTATTTAATGGTGGTAAATCTAACAGTAAAAAAAAACGCTTGAAGAAATCGCTGCTGCTACAGAAGAATTTCGATCAGCGCAACTCTGGAACGCTTGTCTATCTTAAACGGTGTTAAAGGCTTTCACCCTTTTGTTATTTAAAATATTGAGATCCTCTTCTTCTGAGTTGCCTGAAGCATCGTAGCCAGGAGAACTGGCCGGAATCGTCAATCAATTCACGATTCCAGTGAACTCGCCGACCTGTCCCTTGCGGGAATTGATTGAAACTCAACGCCGTGCTTCAACCAATCTTAAGCCAGCGTTAAATGCTACTATAGCACTGTTCACAAAATGTATTATCCGCCGTCGTGACATTTACGTTGGGATCCCGTCTCCGGTTTTTTTTCCTGTATTAGCAAAGCCCTCAACCTCGTGTACAGCAACTGCAGTCTCCAAACCAAAACGCTTATAAGTGTTCCACAGCATTTCAGCTTCAAAATGCAGGTCTTAAGTGCAGAACAAATAAGTGCAAAGTGGAAAGAAGCGGAGCACAGTCGAGACGTGCAAACGGAGCAAAGCACCCATTCTGGAATTTGTATCCTTGTGGAGACATTTCTTTGTTCTCGTGTAGTAAAGTTTTCGAGTTTGAAATTGCAGTTTCAAAATGCTCTTATTTTAACCAGAATTAATCTCCTGGGCTGAAATTTGGACTAAATATCCCTTTTCTAAAACTCTTCCATTTGCGACGGATCAACCTACCTTGGAAATTCCTAGTTTTTGAGTAAAATCCATATATCTACTTCGTGAAATTCTTGTGGAGACGTATTCATCTATAGAAATTGCCCTGTGGAGACCTTTACAATGTTTTGTTCCCTATTGTGTGTGTGTCTCCACAAGGATACGAATTTGTAGTCACACGCACTCACACCTGAAAAGTAAGGTCCAGCGCCGGGAGCTAGTAGTTGCCTTGAAGAGTATAAAAAAAATAAGCAAGATTAAATGAAACGGGGCAAAGCTGTGCACATTCATGGAAAATGCTAATCAAAGTCGAGTTACTAGAGAAAGTTTGGATAACCATGTAAGGCTATCTACAGGATATCCAATTTCAAAACAAACACAACGCGAAAATAAACCAAAGACGGATACCCAATATCACAAACATGTCATGGCCTACACTCTCGTTTTTATGCAGATGATACACAACTCTTTGCCACCGTGTCCAATTTCTCCTGGTGATGACACGTTATACAACACCTGAATAAATCCCCGTCATCTGATTGGTGGATCGTTGATCACATGTCATTGAATTATCCATACCATTGCACGGCGCTCGCGTGGCGCGCAGCGCACAGTACAATGGAAGTACTATTGCACTGTGATTAGAAGTACCATTGCACTGTCACTGCACATGTTGCCGATGGTGGCGCTGTGGTGTTTAAATTGGCAATAAAAGTTCTGAACTTATTGAACTGTTTGAGTTCTAAACTTATGGAAAAGTTTTTAATTAAGACAAATTGAATATGATATTCTCAACCTGTTGAACAGTTTGCATAAATTAAATATGATAACTCTACACTTGTCAAACTTGTAAAAAAAAATTAACTTTAATAATTGGCTATTAAAAGTCAACCAATCAGATGACGAGGATTTATTCAGGTGTTATATAATAATGAATGTTTCATGTTCGTGCAATAGAAAGAATAATTTAATTCGGTGTCAGATGAAATGTTCCATTCCACTCGGCTTCGCCTCGTGGAATGGAACATTTCATCTGTCACCTCATGAAATTATTCTTACCATTGCACTCACAAACATTCATTATTTGTATAATAACACACCATATTCTTGAAACATGCCTGAAAGACATCCTCAAGTGGAAGACAGCCAATCTCCTCAAATAATTCAATACAGATAAAACACAGTTGTCATTTGCTCTCAGCGCCTCAGACACAAAGTCAACATCTCTGACATAGGAGATGCTCTGATGCCCGCTATCTTGGTGTCAACAAGTCAATGAACCTTGAATAACATGTCTCTTCTATTTGTCAGTCCTCTTACATGCATCTTTGACGTAGCAACAGTAAGAAACTCACTAATGGGTCATTCCATGTCAGACCAACGCACTTTTTTACCTTATGTCTTCCGATTTTGATAAAAATTGCTGTGCTTGTAGGTCCTGATGAGCAATGAATGCACACCAATTTTTAGCCCGATCCGACCTACCATATGGTCAGGGCAGAAACCAGAAAAAACGGAAATTTTAGAGTAAAATACCACCCTTTTGGTAGAAATATGTCAAAACCATGTCAATTTTCATCGAATATATGCGAATTTGGTATCAAAATAATAAGAATTGCATGCTCAAATCAACTCTTTTGTCAAAACTAAATTTTGTGAAAAGAAGGTCACGTTACCTCTTAATATGTTATCGTGACCTTTGACCCAATTTATGTAATAATGTATCATTCCGAAAATCAACGAAATGAAAGTGACTTGATAGAACATGTCTTCCTCTATCAGAATCTACTAAATATCAATTGGGGTCTTCAAAATTTATAACTTTATGACTATTTTTGTACAGTTGGTGGGTTACAAATGAGTCAATTTACAGACTTTACATTAGAAATCCACCCACACAACTTACTATCCTGTTTCTAAAGGTACTTAAATTAATCTTGGTTTGGGAATTTCTCATGTTTAGGGCTGATGAGGTATAACCAGACTCATAATATAAATTATCAGCAGTGGCGCACCCAGGATTTTGCTTTGGGGGGGGGGGCTCATAGCTTTTTTGTTGTCAAATTTCTGTAGAAGATTGAAAAAAAATCAAACAACAAACAAATTGACAACCTTGGAGGGGGGTGGGTTCAAGCCCCTCAATCCCCACCACACCCCCAACCCCCCAACCCCCCCGGTGCCACTGATAATTAGTTATCCCACGAGCGCGCTTGGAATATTGGAATATGAAACAATGCAATGCTGCTGTGACCCATATGCCACCTGACGCACTACATTATTCCATGTTCCACGAGCCATAACGAATTTATCTTCAAGCAAACTTGACGTCGAATGCGTACATTGTACGTGGCGAGGGATGTAGGTACATAGTGTATCGGACCGTTCAACAGCAAATAAAAAGAACACAATACATACATGTACATGTACATTCGATATCTGGGGCACAATATAGCTGTGCAGTATTATATCAAATCACACTGTTGTTGCTATACATGAAGATGGACTAGTCAGGGTCTAGGATTCAAGGTTGCTTGAAGATAATACTCAATATCGCAATCAAGGTTACCTTACTCATTCATCACTACGCTTCTTGAAATTTAATGAGTCTCACAGACTTGGCATTTTTTTTCCTTCGAGATAAATTTCACCTGGATGTGTGTCCACTGTACTGGGTCCGGGTAAAAAGCATAGAGCTGTTGCGTACCCTAAACAGTAACTGCTGATGACAATCGACTCTCAAGCATTCGACGTCAAGTTTGCTTGAAGATAAATTCGTTAGCCCACTTGTTCTCGTGGAACACGGAATAATGTAGTGCGTCGGGTGGCATATGGGTCACAGCAGCATTCCATTGTTTCATATTCCAAGCGCGCTCGTGGGATAACTAATTGTCAGTGGCACCGGGTGGGTGGTTGGGGGGGGGGCCTCAATTCAAAGCGCACTCGTGGGATAACTAATTATCAGTGGAACCGGTGGGGGGGGGGGGGGCTCGAGGGGTTAATTGACAAATTGACTAATTTGTAACCTACCAACTGTACAAAAATAGTCATAAAGTTGAAGATTTTAAAGACCCCAATTGATTTTTAGTGGATTCTGATAGAGGAAGACATGCTCTATCAAGTCATTTTCAGTTTGTTGATTTTCGGAATGATACATTAGTACATAAATTGGGTCAAAGGTCACGATAAACTATTAAAGGTCACGTGACCTACTTTTCACAAAATTTAATTTTGACAAAAGAGTTGATTTGAGCATGCAATTCTTATTATTTTGATACCAAATTCGCATATATTCGATGAAAATTGACATGGTTTTGACATATTTCTACCAAAAGGGTGGTATTTTACTCTAAAAATGTCCGTTTTTTGTGGTTTCTGCCCTGACCATATGGTAGGTCGGATCGGGCTAAAAATTGGTGTGCATTCATTGCTCATCCGGACCTACAAGCACAGCAATTTTTATCAAAATCGGAAGACATGAGGTAAAAAAGTGCATGGGTCTGACATGGAATCACCCTTATATATCCTCTGCTGCAGAACAACTCATTCATACTTTTATATCATCCAGATTAGATTTTTGCAATAGTCTACTGGTACCTGTAGGGCTACCACAACATACGAATAATCGTCTCCAACTTGTCCGGAACTCTGCCGCTCGCGCACTCACAAGAAGGAAATCATCTTGCCACATAACACGTACCCGTCTTGTGCAAACTTCATTGGTTACCAACCCAGTACCGCAAACACTACAAAGTTCTCCTACTTACATTCAAAGCTCTTCATGGATTAGCCCCACTGTATCTGAAGGAAATGGTACAACATCTTCAACCGAGACCAGGTCTGAGGTCGTCACCCAGTATACTGTTTGTCCCGAAAACTCGTTTGGCGACCTACGGAGACCGTGCATTTTCCAGCTCTATACCACGGCTCTGGAACTCGTTACAAGACGAGTTAAGGGCAATACACCAATTATCTCTCTTCACACGCCACCTAAAGACTCACCTCTTCAATCAGTTTCTTTCTCACACATAATGACCTCTACCTTCACACACACTGACTTTTCACTGACCGGCGCCTTTAAATGACTACTATTTGATACTGTGCGCCTTACAAATGCTTTGTTATAATTATTATTATTATTAAACAAGGTAATACGAAAAACGTAAAAAAAAAATTAAAAAAAAAAAAACATTTTCAGAGATAAATATTCGCTTCTCATGTGAAAGGCACGCTATAATCTATGGGAAAGATGAAGCTATATAATGTAATAGCTACGGACAAAATAGTACCGTTGAGTGACATCTCATTGTTCACAACAAAATCCTGAAACAATGAGGTATAATTTTGCTTCCATTAAAAAATACTACTTCTTTCATTCATTTTTTCAAAGAAGCTAGAAGCCATAAAAAAAATCCCAATAAAGTCGTCGTAGCTGCCTAATATCTTTCTTTGGGGGCGGTGTGATGTTGTATCCTTGAATTATACTTGTCTCAAAAGAGCCCTAAAAGATAACGTGTGATAAATATCCGCGACCCGTCTTTTCACAAAAATACAGAAGTGCTGAGAAAGTCAAAGAGCAGCATCTGGAATTACATTGCATGATATGTAATCGTCTCTTCATTCTTTGTAGTCGTTTTCTAAATTGATTAGAGTTGACGTAGGCAGATGAAATAGAATTATGAAACCTGTTTTCCCCCACCAATTATTGAATTGAATTTGTCATCAAGATTGAAGCAGGATCCATTTGTATCGCCATAATGAATTTCAGCGAACAACAACATGCTGAGATTACGGACATTGTATAGATTTAGAGGTGGTATATCTAAATAGTGTAAGTTTAAGCGAACAAAACGAGTTCAGTAAAGCTCATTTCCTCTTCAGTAATCAAACATTAACTTCGCATGCGACTGAAAATGCACATTAAGGGTTAACATTTGCAAAGTTGTCCGAAAAAAAAGGTACCGTAAATTACACTTCAGTCAATTGGTACAATTGTTATCGGTAATTTCTAACTTTACATAAAAATTCAAATCATTCATGCACACCACGTTTTCGTCCATACGGGTAAAAAAAATACGCATAGGACCTCTTTAACTTTGGACAGCTACAGAGAGGCAGCTCAATCAGATGTGAGACGGAAAAAAATACCAGGAATACGTATTGATGTTCTTTCGAGCTATCTCTTAATGGAATTACTTCGGGTACATTGAAGTACTCCAGGTATTGCCCGAGAAGTGTTATTAGAAGCCACGATGGGGAATAATTATTCGCGGTAGTTTTATTTTTCAAATTAAACGCGCTTAGGAAACACAAGGTTTTTGATTTAGAGATTTTATTCTGAACGAGATCATGGGCGTTCCCCAGCACTTTTCGCAAGGATATCCAGTATTATATTCAGACGGTTTACCTTATTTGATTATTATTTTGCTGCGAGCGGACATGTGATCCAATCAATGGCTTTCAATGGGAGCTAGCTAGCGGTACCCATTTTTCTTGGGGGGAGGGGGGAGGGGGAAAGCAGTCTATTGCATATTCGGAAAGGGAGGGGCTGGACTTTGATCAGACGTTAGAGGGCGCTCTTCTCCCTTTTCTTATCGCTCTTTTTGTTTGTATTTCACAAATGGCAGAGAGAAAAGGGTGAGTAGCATCGATATAAACTTCTCTTCCGGTTTAGCCTAACTACTGGAAAAAAGTGACTGTCACTTGTTTGGAGGGGGGCGGGGCCATTGTCCACGTTGCCCCCCCCCCCTTCTGGGTGCACCGAGTTAAAAATAAACCCGTCAATGACATTGAGTTTGGATTTTTTGCAGCATGTTCCGTAGACTGGACCTCCAACGAACCGGGCGACTCGTCCTACATCATATTCATTTTCGTCATGGTTCTGGTCATTCCATTTTCGCTGATTGTGGGCTCTTACACACTGCTCATCTATGCCGTCAAAAAGGTGAGAATTCATTCATTTGTAAGGTTACCACTATAGGGTTACCAATTCCAAAAGAAAAGTGCACTGTCAATTAATTCATTATATGAAATCAACACCAAGTAGGCCTATATTGTATTCTAATGCTAAGTCCGGAAAGCAGATACTTTTTATGCAACCAAGTACGGTTACTGACTATAATGCGCATGCGTCAGTTGTTACCAGATTCATGTTAAATTGATCTCAAAGCAAATAAGACTTCAACACCAAAACAAATGTAGTTTTGAGCAAAAATGGGGGATGGTATCTCAGAGTTAATCATAAATATTAACCCACGGCGCGGCGCCGTCGCCAGCCCCAAGCATGGGGGGGGGGGATACCAAATAGGGAGGCCCACTACCTTAAACAATACAAAAGTACATTGGTATGGCTTTCACCGTCGGGGGGTGGAAATTGCTCGACAATGAGGGGGGGGGCACCAGCCCACCCCCTTGGCGACGGACCTGTCACGGCGTCCAATTTATTCTTAAAACAGAGGCTTTATATACCACTATTACAATGACACTTCAATCCCTCGTTCGAAGTCAAGACGTCATAAACTCATTTTAATTGCATGTGGAACAATAATATTTCAGTCGCATGATATGTCTCAAGCGTGCGTATTAAATGACTACACCTGCTTTCAGAAGAAAAAATGCGCCGGAGAAGGTAGTAACAGTATATTGATTTAAAAATGTGCGAACGAAAACGATTTGAAAATCGTTGGAACTGTCTAGGAAATCGTTCATAAAATGTCATGTTTATAAATTACTCACAAATGTTTGAAATATTTTAATTCTGCGCTACCGTCTTTAACATAGGTTTTCCCGGACAGTTTTGGAAAATGTACATTTGAATTTGTAAAACATACATTCGATTTGGCGCTGATTTTGAGAACGACGTATATTCTGGTTTCATTTTCGCAATAACTAGCATTCGATTTCATTTTGCATCATTCAAATAAATGAATGTATATAACGTTTCATTTAAAGGATTACAAAAACATGATTAGACTTTCGGTTTGACGAATGCGTTGCCGATTATTACGAATGTGCAATCCGTTTCGCCAAAAATCTTCTTTCTTTTTTTGACACGGGCTGAATTGAACATTCTTTTTCATTTGTTATAATTTAAATTCGCATATTCTGCATTAAATTTAAATAAAGTATAAAGGCCAATATAAATCATGATACAACTTTGATTGATTCATTAATTAATCAATGTATTACAGGCCTAATTGATCATTAATGTGTTTGTTCTTAAATACACACAGGCCTATTCAAAATAGGCAAACAAAGTGTTAAAAAGATATAAAGCTTACCAAAATAAAATCAATCAAAATAGTCTCGTAGGCTATTATTGGGACGGTAAGGGGAAACATCACGTGTCATGTTACATGGGATCTGAGGATTTTTGTTGTTGGTTGTTTGTCTTAATTTCATTTTAATGTTTGTTTTGTATTTATAAAGTTCTCTCTCATTTTATCTTTTCGATTGCTTGGTTATATGATGCGTTTGTGGCAAATGGTGAGCAAAAAGGCGATTGTCTTCAACTTAGGTTTTTATGTAGGATTTATTGTATTGGTATGTTTCAAAAGACTATACACCACTTGGTTAAGTTCAATCAATCATGAATATTCAATCATTCAATGATTCAATCAAACATTCCTCATGTTACTGTCATGGAATAGGAGCGGGTTAATGACTCCTATCAGGGAGGGGGTGTGGATGCCAGCTGGGGTTGAGGGTGTGTACCCTTGGGATGGAAAACAACTCTGGACTGCACTCACTTCCGCGTGGACAGAACTTTAAAACGGTGGTTGTGTTTAAAAGTCCATAACTTAAAAAGTACTTGAGTGATTTGAATAATTCTTGTACTAAAAAAAAGCTTATGAATTTGGCTTTTATATCCTAGATTTTGAAAGTGCTACATGTAGAACTTCACTAAAACAACAGTCCAACATTCTGGTTTCGTTTTTGACTCACCCAGTATACCTAGCTACTTTAACATTGCTCAGTCAAAATAAAGAGGAGCCGACATGCTTGTTAGTAACACACTCGATCGGGTTTCAAATTCGCGTCGAGCTTTGGCCATCTTCAATAGAGGAATCAATCGCGCAGCAAGCCCACGCACACACAAGTAAATTGATTGATGGTAATGTTTACGGGCATCCTGGGAAAGACTTGGAAAGACTTAATTTCCTGAAGAGATGGGTTGCTTTTATCATAGTTTCAGACTGCAGAAAGTATGGGGCCCGTTCGCTAACACCCCCAAGTAAACTAGCTAAAAGAGGTAAAGGAACTGGAAAACAGGCTTCCACACTGGAAGACACAGAAATACACGCACTCGATAAGAGAAGAAAGACTTTAAGAAACAAGGATAAGTTATCACAGCACGAGAGGATTGAGCTTTTTGAAACAAGCAAGCTCGTCAAAACGAAAAGGAGACAAAGACGGAGGAGAAGAAGAAGAAGGATTAAAAAGATAGGATCCATCATCAAAAATGGTCCACAGCAGATTGACAAGGACAGCAATAAATCAAAATATGCTCAATGAGAAAACAAAATGGAGAGAAAACAACAGACAGAATAGAAACAGTGGAAATTTGGGCTGATTTCTACAAAGATATGTTTAGCTCAAAAACAAAGACGGGAGAGGATACAACTAGATCAAGCCCAGATGAATCAGACATACCACCAATAACCAACTCGAGAGTTCAAACTGCAGTCTATCAAATGAAAAGAAACAAAGCACCAGGTATTGATCAAATGACAACTGATATAATAACACTGGTTGGAGAGGAAGCCATTCAAGAAATGGTCACCCTATTCAACGACATTCTGAATAAAATGAGGATACCAAAAGAATGGATGGAAGCCAGAATCAGTACACTTTCAAAAAAAGGAGATAAAATGAAGTGAAGAACTATAGACCAATAAGTCTTCTTTCACACTTGTAGAAAATATTGCAAAAGTAACAGCAGAATAGAAAGAGTCTTAGACGAACATCAGATCAGATATTTAACAACGGACCATGCAAGCTATAACCAGACCATAGAGAAGATGAACGAATACAATCTACCACTGTGCATCGGCTTTGTGGACTTCAAAAAAGCCTTCGATTCCACAGAACATCCGGCCATGGTTAGATCATTATGAAAATAATTATTATAAGAATAGACGAAACCTACATCAACATCCTGGAAGATATATACACAAATGCAACAGCTAAAATTAACTTAGATAATGAAATATCAACTGAAATCAAGATATCAAGAGGGTTCGACAAGTTCTCCCTGACTATTCAACGCAATTCTTGAAGATGTTTTCAAGAAAGCAGCAATGGAAGAGGAAGGATTCAACATCGATGGAGAATCATTATAGAAACCTGAGATTTGCTGATCAATGTGGCCATATTCTCATACTCCATCAAAAGCCTAGAAGACAAATGAAGGAGCTTGCACCAAGAATGCAACTGATTTGGGCTTAAAATGCACAAAGGAAAGACACAATTTATGACAAATACTGATCTCGAGTCATTGTCACATTGAGAATGAAATAATAGAAAAGGAAATTAATACAAAATACTTTGGTCAA